GGACTTGTCGCGATTTATATATTTATATACTGTATATGTGTATGGGTTTGAAACTAATTATTGACGCGAATTTATATGAGGCTGCTGCTGCTGAGAACATCAATCAAGACGACGATGGCGGCGACGACGACGACGAAGACGACGACGGGATAAAAGAGATGAAGAGATTTGCAGAGATAACGACAACCTCCTCTAATAATCAATTAGGAGCTGGGCTTTATATGGGTGAGTTGATTGATTGATCGATCTAGTTCTGTATAAATATTTGTTTATTTATTTATATACAGATCGTTTTACCTACCTAACTACCCACTACCTATTACGCGGGAGCTAATCATTGATGAATTTCAAAAAAAAAATAGTAAACAGACCCGATAACCTGCTAATTGCAGAAGAAGGGAGTCGTAGTCGGTATTGTGTCATCGAAGCGAAGAAGAAGAAGATACGACGTCTTAAAAAAGTATATATCCCGGAATCCTATGAGACGGGGATCGGGGAGGATGGGAGTAGGGAGGAACAGAGGTTATGGGGTGATGAGAAAGTCATTGTGCGGTATATCAAGGAGGAAATTGGGGTATCGAAGCCCGAGAGAGCGCTGCGCTTTGCGTGGATTGAGGGGCGCGATTGGAAGCTGCAGATGATGATTCCGATGACGGTGGTGGAGGACGGTGAGTTGGATATGAGGAGCAGATGCTATGACTCGAGAGACGAGCTGATGGAGTTTTCGAATAAGGAAATTAATTGGGAGGCTTGGGGGATAAGGTGGGTAACCCAGCTTTAGATTGATCCTTTGCGAGGGAGGGAGGGAGTGTGGCTCGTCAATTGTACGTAGTGTGAGTATGTTAGAAATCGCGAGGTTTGTTTATTCCCAGGCCTGACGGCCCTCCGCAAAGCTCCGGGGGGCCGTCAGGCCTCTCGAGGTTATCGTTTCCGCCTGGGCAGGAACGGGTAAAATTACAGTCCTTCGACTTTGAGCGGGTTCGAATGTCACCAGATGCGTAAGTGACTGACTTGTGGGATGACTCGACTCGACTCGACTTGAACTCGACTCGAATCGAGCAGAAGCGGGCCCAAAGGCCCCGAGACAGCATAGGTAGTTTCCTCTCTCTCGTCCAGAGCTCTCCATGGAAACCCACCGCCTTACTTCTTCCTACCAGCATTCTCGTCACCAGGCCTCGGCTCCTCGGCAGACAACTCCTCTAACACCTGCTCCACAGCCGTCTCTTCTGCCTTCGGCCCCAGATCCCTCCTCTTGATGCTCCAGCCCCCTTTCCACCCAACCCAGCCCGGGTTCCACGGCGACCGCACGAAACACACCAGTAGCGCACCGCACACCATGCCCACGCTCGCACTCCCGCTCGCGATCCACCCGCCCTGCGCATACAGCCTGTTCCCGGCCGCCGTGCCGGTCAGCTGCCCGCAGAACACGCACACCATGTAGGCGGTGTTGACCCTGTTGCGGGCCTTCGGCTCGATGGCATAGATGGCGGACCGGTTCGCGATCTGCGAGGATTGGAGCCCGAAGTCGATGGCGAAGGCTTGGATGATGGGCCCCGCGACGGTGAACTTGCCGGTGTAGGTGCCGATGATGGTGCCGGCGAGGCAGTAGAGGAGGCCGAGCACGACGCTGAAGACCGGGACGAACTTGTCGATTACGGCGCGTGAGTAGATGGGGCCGAGACAGACGGCGCCGATGCCGATGAGGGCGAAGAGACCGATGATGAGGGGCTTGTAGCTGTAGGGTGGGGAGGAGAGGAGGAAGGTTAGGGTTGTCCAGTAGCTGGTGAAGATTGACGAGGCGAGGAACCCGACGAGGCAGGCTTGGACGAGCACGGGATGTTTGAAGAGCATCTTCAGGATAGAGCGGAGGATGTGGAAGTAGTTTATGCCGTCCGGATTGGTCGAGGGATAGTCTGGCATGAACAGAAAGAGGAGGATGAAGATGAGGTATTGGACGCCGAAGGAGAACCAGTAGATCGACCGCCAGGAAGTGTACTGGGTGAGGATTCCTGAGAGGAAACGGGCGATTAGCATCCCGAGGAGCATGCCTGAGACCACGATCGAAAGGTTGGCGGCTCTGCGGTGGGCTGGCGATAGATCCCCTACCAGAGGAAGCATGAGCTGGGGGGTGACTGTCGAGACGGAAGTGATGAACGATATCGCGAGGAAGACGGTGAATGAGTCTGTCAGACATAAGCCGAGCCACTGGGCGATGTCAATAGCGCTGGTCGTGCGGCAGAGAGGAGAGTGTCTACCATTGTAGCAGTAAAAAAGACAAGGGTAAGCACGAATGCTCGACGACGTAATATGTCGCCCAGAGGACATATGAATAGCAGGCCTGCGGCATAGCCTGCTTGTGCCATCGTCGGTACTTGAGCCGCCTTCTCATTGGAAACATTGAACTCGGCGGCCAATATATTGAGGATTGGGTGACTGTAGTAGAGGTTTGCCACTGTGAACGTCCCAGCCTACAAGTGTTAGTTAACAGAATGTTTAGATTCCTGGAACCGAGTCTTGACCCTCTCGACTGTCACTTGGCATCCATCCAGCCATACCTGCCTAACCTGTGCAGTCCTTCGGTAAAGAGGTATCCACTTACGAAGGCAAACAGAAGGTTTAATGCAAGACCGAATTTGGGTGGCGAATCTGGATCCCACCTGCATCTCTTGGGAGTCCAAGACACGACCCTCCAGATCTTGCTTGCAAACTGATTATCTCTGATGCGAGAAAATCTTCGCTTCTCGTCACTACCCGGTCTCGAAGCAGAGACCGAGGCGCTTGCATCTCCACCGGCATCAAGTCTCTTCTCCCCGGCGTCCTCGTTTGGCGCAGGACTGGCGACCCCTTCTTGGGACATGGACATGGTCGCCATTGTCGTCGTCTTCGCCACGGAATTTGAAGCTGTCCGTAATCTTCGTAGCGAAAGTGAGGAAGATGAGAAGAGGAGGCGAGGCTCTTCGATGATCATTCCGCACCTGTTCACTATCGCGATGATCTTCGGATTTCCCCACGGTTTGTTGACTTTCTGCGGGGATAACTGGGCCCGCTTAGCCTTAAAGCCGAAGGGGCGAGTCCAGTCCAAGAACCAGGAGCGAGAGTCGAGACTCACGACCGGAAGCGGAAAAGCTTAGCCCAGACCACATGATCCGTTGTTGAGCTACTACTACCGGTACTACTGTAACTAGTATGTGGTTTTGTGAGTCTGACAAAAGTGAAACATGGCAGGCGTTGTGTGGAGTTGATTGCAGACAAGTCGCTCGCCTACGGACATCGCAACAACAACAGGATGGGGTGGCCTTCTCGGTTCGGCTGAAAGATTCGGGTGAAAGGTTCGGGTGAAAGGTTCGGGTGAAAGGTTCGGCTGAAAGGTCAACAATTACGACTAGCAGCCCAAATACGGAATTGCAATCTCCTAGGGAACAGGGGTAGTTGTACATTGATACGTATCTACTACTCGTATATCTGTCCTTCTATACGTCCAGGATCTGATCTGCCAACCCAGTGGGATTTGGAAGAAAAAGAGAAAAGTAAACAAAAGCAAAGGCGAAGTTGGGCTGGAGTTACCATGTATATGCAAAACAAAGCAACCGCATTCCTCGGTTCTGCGACGCGAGGATCAGGATTGTTGGTTTTGGCGTGTCCAATCATATCGCCATTTCCCCAGGACCGGATCCATCCCATCCAGGCACAGTGGAGACTCGGTTTAGCCTTCCCCCCACCAACCCCCACCAACCGCCCCACATGGCTGTCTGAGCAGCCAATAGGCCCCGGCCGCTCCTTCCACCAGTCCTAGCGTTTCGGACATGACCTTTTCTTTGCCAAGCCGGCCGACTCACCAATATTTATCCGTACTTGTACCTACCACTTCCACCAGCTCCATCTCATCCAAGCTTTCACCGTCGTCTTCTTCCTTCCTGTCAACACCGCATCCATCATTCCATCATCCCATCCCATTCCATCCCATCACCTTTACACTGCTTCACTGCTTCACCTCTTCACCTCTTCACCTCCTCCCCTCGTCCCTTCTCAACATACAAACAACATCAATTGAGTCGATCCTCCATCCCTCAACTCAACTCAACTCAATTGAGCTCAACTCTTCTCCTTCAACTCTCCACCCGTCAACATGTTCATCAAGTCTGCCGTCGCCGGTGCGCTTCTGACCAGCTTCGTCGCTGCGCAGACCTTTAACTCCACCGTTGACCCAGGAAACGTCCTGCCCACGACCAAGTGTAAGATGCGCCGATCTCTTTTCCTCGTTCAAACGCAAAAGATGCTGTGCTAACGACCTCCTTCCAGCGCAATGGTGCCTGTCCCAAATCAACGTCTGTGGCACTCTGTGCAGCGGCGAGGTCAACAGCAACGAGTGTGATGCAGTACGTTATACGATACTACCAAACCCAAAATGATTGAGACTTTTGGCCATACACTGACCGTTTCACCCGTAGCCTACCCTTGTCTACAACTGCACCTGTGCCTCCAACAACTCCGCTCCAGGTCTCGCATACTACACCGGAACCTTGCCAACCTTCGTCTGCAACCAAGTCTTTGAGAACTGCATCGCTGCCGGAGAGAACGACCAAGCTGCCCAAGCTGTCTGCACAAAAAACAAGGACGCAAACTGTGGAACTCTGGACCCGGACAACTTTACCGCCCCTGCTGACACCTCAAGCTCCACATCATCCTCTGTAAGTATTCAGAAAGTCGCACTGCCTATGATGCCCCGGGTGAAGCGTGAAAACTTGATGTCAGACGGTGCTAACTCGTCGCTCGCAGCCCTCCCCATCAGCCGTAAACTCTCCTTCGGCCGCTGCTGGAACTGCTACCCCTACAAACACTCCCAACGCTGCTGGTCCTATCTTGATGCCCGGCCAAAACGTCGGTCTCGGAGCCATTGTTCTTGCCGCCGGTGCTGCGTTCGGATACATCCTTTGAGCGCAGATATCTCTTCCAGGCCTTGGCATGCAACGGGACCGTCTCTTCACGATATTACTTTCTTGGACGCGTCTGCGGCTGGATTGTGAATACCCTACTTTTTTAAAAAATAAAAACGGCGTTTATAGCATTGGTGCTGTGGCTTGCTTGTGCGTTTTGCGCTTCTAGCATCTTCAAAATCGATGCTGGTAATCTGCATTCGAATTGCTACGACAAGGTAGCATAATAATAGGACGAGGGGATGATTTTATGATTGGAGAAAGAAGGATGGGAGAACCAGGTGTGTCTTGGCTTTATGTTTGCCCCGAGACCAAGTTTAAGAAATGCATGGTATTAATGGAGGCCTGCCTGCTTCAATGGGCTCATTGTTAAACGCAGAAACTTCTATTCGTTCATTCTGTACACGCGTGCTTTCCCTTTCCACACCTTCCAATTTCCTTTCCTGCCCGTTGCGCTGCATCCGAGATGCCTCCTTCACTCGCTCATTCTTTTGCATCGCCAAGAAAGTTTCCCTTTGTCTTCTCATGGCGTCCTCGATGAGAGAGGATTGTGGATGTTTTCTTTGTCGCATGTTTCCAGAAGACCCTCGACTCTTTTGCCTTTAACGCCTTCAAATATACTCGGACGTGGTCACCACGAAATGTCCATCCTTTCATCCAAGCAGATATGACCGCACCTGTAACCTTCGGGGTGGAGATCAAGTTCCTGATGGCCTACGTGCTTGAAGACGCTCCTCTCCCAAACCACGCCGAAACTCGACAGCCGAGACTCTACCAACCCGAGACCGACATTGAAGAATACCCCGAACAGACGAAGACGGCTCCCGAGACGAGAGAGGCCCACGAAAATGGCGCCCGCTTCGTGCGAGCCAAGCAACGTATCCGCGAGGTGCTCCAAGAAGCGAACCTTCCCGTTGGCACAATCGATACAGCCTCCGACGCTCCTGGTGACTACACGAAATGGGAGGTTGTCGACGACTCCTCCATCGAAGTCCCGCATGACAGAATCGGGTACTCGTACTTCCAAATGGAAGTCCGCTCTCCAACATACGTATACGCTGTCCAAGCGCTCGATGATGTCCGACTTGTATGTAGGCTTCTACAAGACAACTTCGTCCTCCGTATAGTGCCCAGCTGTGCACTACATGTACACACCGGCCAAGGAGATCAGGGCTTTAGCTTTGAGACCATACGACGACTGGTGTCGTTCCTGTGGGCCTTTGAGCCGCAGCTCAATTCTCTCCACCCCCCGGAGCGGCAGGATACATGCTTCGCGAGGTCGCTGCGCGAATCGTCGCGGTACTCGCTTGAGTACCAGGATAGATACGATAGGATACCTACGGGCCTCGACGGGGCTGTCGATATCCAATCTTGCCAAGACTTTAACATGTTGTGCCAGATGGTGGAACCGAGCAACACGTCAAGTCGGTACGCACAAGTGAGTTTAGCCGGTGTCCTCGCAGCTTCGAAGGACACAGCGCATAAGATGAAAACGGTGGAGTGGCGACAGCATCAAGGGACCCTTGACGCAGACGCTATCTGTCACTGGATCACGACCGTCGTTGAGATCATGGAGATGATGAGGGATGTGGACTACTCATGGTTTGCCGGCGACCTGCTGATGGTCGCTCTGCAGGAAAGGTGGATGAAATTAGGGGATGGTCTCGACGGTCAACGCGAAGTCGAGATGGGCCCTATCCTGGCGGAGAGCGGATTCACGGTCGTTGATCTACTCAGGACTTTGGACCTCAAGCCACAGGCGGAGTATTACAGTGGCAGGTGGCATAAACTGGAGAAGAGAGCGGCGCCGCCGAGGAAGTCGAGGATTGTGTGGGCGTATGAGACGGAGGAGGAGCCCGGGACGAGCAGGTATGCGACTTCTCACGCGGGGAGGCTGCTGTGGGAGCAGATGCGTGTTCTGGTAGATATGCAGTTCTCGCCCGTCATGTTTGACCCTGATGATGAGATGTGGCCCAAGCATAGTCTGAGGGCTGAGACGCCGACGATGGAGGAATGGGGTAATGATGAGGGGATTGATGATACTCCGAGTGAAAGCTAGGATCGACGCGGTGGTGGTGGCTCCGAGCCGCCGCGTCTGGACTTAGAGCAGGAGCAAGAGCACGAGCAGGAGCACCCACCGATGCCTACGAGCAGGCCTTCGTCTGGCCAGTCTTGTTTCTTCATGACGTCTCAAGAGCGTGGACTATGGCGATTAGAGCAAGAGCAAGAGTTGGGCGGGGAGTACTCCCCGCTGCCCCGTTGCCGGCTTTCGCGCTCATCACATAACCTGTCCATGGCGACGTCTGAAGATGAGCGTGAGCTGTGGCGACTGGAAGAGGAGGAGGCGGAGCTAGACAGGGCCATTGCGGTCTTGGAACAGGTGAAGGGGGAGGAGGAGGAAGGGATGGATGCTGTGCACGCGCTGCTGGGGGATGTGGAGTGGAGGGAACGCCTGAGGGTTATGGGCAATGGGGAGGAGGTGAGGGGGGTCAGTGATCCGTTTGATGGTTCGGTGGCGAGAGGTCTCGAGGGTGGGCGAATTGACATGGGGATGGGGACGGAAATGGTGGAGGTGGAGGTATCGCCGCGGACGAGGCCCGTTGTCGATGTGGTGGTGCTGGAGGGGGTGGCTGGTCTTGATGAGGCCGAATTTATGGCTCTGTGAAAGCGGAAGAAAAAATTGAAGAGGAGGCTCGTCGATTTGGGATCTGATTTCACATTTCCAGTTCTTGCGTTGACACTAGAAAGTAATCCCAGCCATGAAAATTATCAGAAGCCTATCTATCATCAGAAAGAAATAAGTATAACCCCCCCCCTTCCCCCCTTTGTGAGCAAAACTGCGAGGGAAAAGGTATGTACAGTCGACCAATAAAAAAATTTTGCTCAAAAAAACGTTTTTGACTTAATAAGTCTTCTGACTTTTAATTGTATGATATAATTTTTAATATAATAATATAATTCATAGTAACGCCTCAGTGGCTAATAATGACGACTGGCGGGAGACAATAGGTGATCTGACCTCAGTAACTTTGCAGCGATTGAGGGGGGTGTTGAGATTGAATCAGCGAGCGGTGGTGCGGGGGGGGACGGTTTAGCTAGCGCATAAATGTTTTTGTTACGTCGAGCACGAAGAGGAGGTAGGTAGGTAGGTGGATGAGTTACTTTAGCGGGTTCTTTTTTTTTTTCTTTTTGTTGTTTGATATATATACATATATGGATTGCTAGGACGGATGAAGGGTTTATTTGCCGCCTGTTTGAAGCTGGTATGTTTATCTATTGTCTCTTTCTCTCCCTTCTCGCTACCTTGCCCTTTTTTTTTTCTGTTTTTCTTATACATATCAAGCATCTTCAGGACGGAGAACATCCAAGAGACCTCCCGCTGTCCGTACTCCACCTATTTTGGAAATCCCAAGCACGTTCGGGACCTCAGCAATCTCTTCAACGCCGTCTGGACGTTCGAGGAGCAGATGTTGTTTGAGACCTATCCGTCCGGGGCACAAGGCCAGTTGTAAACATCACGGCTCCGTCCTTTCGAAAAGCTATCGGTCTCCAGAAAAGAGCTGTAGGGAGATCGTCGGATATACCAGCATGGAGAACCTGATGTAGTTGTAGAAGAAGGGAGCCAGCCTATAGCCAAGCATACCATAGCTGGCAAGTACGATTTACTACTACCTCGGCGCCTATCTCAGCGCAAGAAAGGTCATCGACCGGGAGGAGATGAACGGGAGAGAACAGTGGGATTTAGAAAGCACAGGAGCTTCTTGCTGGACTTGCTGGTTTACAAGGAGACTGATCCAACCCTGAATCAAATTCGCTATCCAGCCTCTCAATCCAATCCCATCCTAGCCTCAATCGCCTGCCTTGTCTGTCTCCAACGCCGCACCACGCCACGCCATAATCTCGAACTCTTCGTCTAGCATATCATATTCCTCCGCTGCATACTTCTGAATCCCCTACTGAACCGAGGTTCGTATTCGTCGGCTTCTGTCCAAGCGCGAGCCGGACTGCTGCCCCTGCTGCTGCTGTTGCTTCTTGCGAGACCAAGGTCTCCAGTTCGTTCCGTCATGCTCAACCCAGACAGAGCCTGAAGGCATGTCATGTCGACTTTTCCATCAACTTCCGTCCGTCGCTGATAGCAATGCTAAAACAGCGGTGAACCTTTCGCTCATGATAATGATAGCATGAAAAGTCAAAGACATAAGAGAAGAAGCAAGAAAGACGGGAATCGGGTAGAGATATATACGAACTACCATCTGCACTAATACAATAGGAAAGGGCGTACGGCCGATGCCTCTTGAACGTATGGAGGAATGACGTACGTAGCCGCAGAAGTCTGGTACAGTGACTACTTTTTTCTCTTTATTTTTTGGCCCCCTTTTTCTTCCTTTTCTTGTTCAAATCAAAGTTTTTTTTTTCTTTTTTTTTCGGTTTATCTCTTTTTCCAGGATATTTGGAAAAGGAGAAGTATAGAAGAACATGTGGTCCAGCAAGTGCTGATAAATCTCGGCATGCCGTGGCTACTTTAAATTGAGTGGAGTTATTCCAAATTCTCAACAGTCAGCTAGCACGATGCAGACCCATCAGATAGTTTTAAGCTATCCCGCCTAACTCTTCATTTCATAGAGAGGGCATCTTCGATTGATCCAGTCTAGCTGCCTAGGCGTACGTGAAGGGTTGCTGGGGTTGATTAGAGCTCCCCCAAGTTGCCATTTGGCTTTTGGGACGTTTGACACCGAATAAATGACAATGTCTGCCTTTTCAACTGGCGAACAAAAGGAATGGCTGCAGAGCGAAGTAGGTTGGAGTAATGACTGCGTGGCCCTCAAGGCCACTCATGGTATTATGAATACTATTGTATGGTGTTTATATCTGTCTGGTGTCAATCGGAGTTTCTATGTGACTAGCTAGCCTCCCACTGACCACATACACATAATGGGATATCGGAAGACACGCCAATGCCACGCTAAAATTTCAAGATGCTACCTTTGTCTGCCTACTGCCAGTGTTCTGTAATGACCCATCCCCATCGTCTAGGAGCTGAGCGCAAGACAGGCATCAACTGCGAGACCAACCCTGGCATACATTAGCGACATGCGACCAAGAATATATATGCTAATTACTTACCTTCCCTCTTTCTGTGTGACCACGTCGCTAATGATCTCTCTGTCCAAATCTGGGAACATTCCCGCCAGCGTCTCAACAACATTAGCATGTTCTGCCCTCTGGATCCGATGCGCTTCTGCCGCTTCGGCACTCGCCTGTCTCGCAGCTGCATCTTCGGCTGTCCGTCGGCTGCGTTGACTATTGTCTTGGGTCGTCGGAGGGCGCGGCAGGCCTTGAGGTGCATCTGAGCTGATTTGTGGAGCCGGAGTCATGCGGGGAGTATTGCCAGGTAGAGGCGTCCTCGCAGGTCCTGATTGGGAGTGAGAGGGGCCGGCTTCTTCTGAAAATATCCGTCCTATCGAAGTTAGTGGCCGCTGGATGGTGCTTAATAGTCCGCTCATGGGTGACTTCTCATCTAGTCCCCCATCTCCGCTCTCGTATTCGTTTGACATTCGAAGATTTGAAGACTCGCCATCCATTGAATGACGAGGTGTCACCTGAGGGCGGCTAAGAGTCGATTTCTCTGATAGTTGTGTGGGTGGAGGTGGTTCCACGACTTCCTGTGCCTGGTGCTTCTCAGCAATAGCAGAAACAGCAGCTTCGACATTCTTCTCAAACTCCTCGTCGGAAATTGTCAAGCTAGTACGGTCAAGATTCTCAATAAATTGCACAGCACCCAGCTTCAATATGTTAGCAGGGCCCAAAGACGTGCAAAGAGGACTTACGAGAGAAGACAGATAGTAACCTGCCTCTCCAGCTAACTTATCTTGGTTCCGGAATCGAAGAATATATTGTACATTGGATACCATGTGCTCTGGGTTGGCCTGAAGCACTACGTAGATCAGAAGAGGCATGAATGAGTCTGCAGACGAGTCGGATTTGGAGTGTTTGAGCAAGCCTGGCTAATCAGCAAGAAATTCTGGTCGGAAGAGGGTGGAAGACTTACCGAATATCACTTTGCAGCAATTCAGTACACAGATGATTTTGTCTCTGGGCGCCCGATATGTCTTGATCTTAAGAAGCTCTGATTCTGAGATTAGTACTTAGTTACTGAGCGTTCGCGCAGTATGACTTACCTTGCTGAGCCAAAATCAAGAAACGTTTTCCGCTGTCACCAACGGCTGGTATATCTAAATGTTGCTCCTTGATCCATCCATAGATAAGGACTTTTTGGGCAAGGATTTCATCACGCTCAACATCCTCTTGATGCTGGCCTTTCCTTCCGGGCCCCATTGGACGCTCGCCTCCCCTTCTTTTTGATTTAGATCCGGGAATCGGCTGTGGAGGCGGAATGGCAGGAGAGAAAGTCTGTGTGTACAACCGGTTCATGACCAGCTTTTCCATACCTTCACGAGCGTTGTCAAATTCCGCATCTGAAACCTCACGCCAGACATCACACTGGCCCATTTTAATGGTTATAAAGGCAAGAAAATCCCCTATTATTTTCACCTGTTCGTGAACCATCCACTGCTTCTTGCCAAATTCTTGGAGGAATGATCTCAAGAACTTTGCTACGGGATCTGCTGTTCGATGTCTCAGCTGCTCCAAGAACCGGTGAAAATCAAAAGGCAAATCTGGTTCGGGCTCTGGCTCCGGGGGTGGAGGTCTATGCAGAGCAGGAGGGGGTAGTGGATCCACATGTTGATATCGATCATCACTAGCCCTAGACTGCCTCAGACTACGAATTGAATCAGGCTTTGGGGGCACAGTTGGCCCAATATCCTCAGGATCTCGAGTCTGTTGTTTACCGGGGGAGCCAGTAGATATCGGTAGGTCTTGCATGCTGTGACCGGCACTCGTGAAAGTTGCATTCAATGGCTCCAGACTAGACTCTCTCGGCGGATGTTGGACAGGACTCCCAAGAAGCGGTCCAGCAATTTCGAACCTGGGAGACATAATTTCTTCATGGCCTAGCCCTTGTCCTTCCTCACTAAACTGGTTCATTATAGTCTGAATCTCAGACCTCGAGCTCTCGCGCTCATCACCACTTGCAGAAGCCTTCTCGTCAAAGCCAGCATCAGACCGTGTAGGTGATCTTTCCCGGGCTTCCACATCCAAATTACGAGAATATTGTGGTGTTGAGGTAGCATTTGATGTTGAGCGTGACGGAGGTTGCGATGAGTATGGTGTTTTTGGTGTCGGATCATTGTAGGGCATGTCGATGGGAGAAAGATGCTGCTCCGGAAAAGGCTTCGCAGATGGGGCTTTAGGCTTCAAAGTCGCAGTCGATGATTCCATGGGGTCGTGATCTAGGGCTACTTTCTTTCCCTTCGAGGCTGCTGTCTCGACTGTCTTTGGGACGTCCTCTTCTGCTCCTGGCTCCTTGTCCCCGCCCACTTCTTGACCAGAGCTCCAAACCGCCGAGGGTGCCGAAAGGTCTTGCGTATCATTATCGTCTTTTGTATCAGGCACTAAATATACGTTGCCCCCATTACCGCCATTCGAAACCAGAGAATTCCCGCGCTCTGATGATGCCTTGTGGGCTTCTTCAGCACCACCTCCAGTTTCCCCCATCAGCCCGGACGCTGGCACTGCTGGCACTGCTGGCAGCGCATCATCTTGATGGCTGGGAATGTCTGCCGGTTGGGTAGGAGGAGACATGCACCTACCGGGCGCCTGTCCGAGGCGTTTGATTGCAATGCGTGAGATTGGCGGGGTATTCTGCTATGGATATGGCGAGACTCGGCGGTCGCGATCGACGGCTCCAGAGGAACATTAAAGAGAGCCGACTTTGCTCGGGCGGGTGCAATAAATCATCTAGATTTTAGCGGACGTCGGGCCAGTTCCAATATTGACTCGGAGTTCTCGGAGGATATGGTCGGGTCAAGTCAATCAATTCGGTTTGGCTCGTCGCTGGATCCACGGGATTGATCGTCAGCCAAAGCGAAGCGAGACGAATCCCAGCCAGTCCCAGTTCCACCATGTCCGTCACTGGATCACTGCATCAACTCTACAGAGACAAGAGAACCACGACATTTTCGATACCAGCCTTTTATCCTCGGAAAACTTGAGCATGACACCGAACAGTCCACCTACAAGCCAGCCCTCGTCAGGAAATGTGTGGCATCCATGCGGCCATCTCGAAGCGATGCTACCAAGCCCCGAGTGATGACCTGAAGAATTTGCTCTGCAACCGAGGACCCGACCACCTGGGACAGGAACGCGTACAGATCGATGCCAGTGCCGGTGAAGTTGACGGAACATCGTTCTGGATAGTCCTCACATCTACCGTTCTGGCATTGAGAGGTGGACACATCACAGCTCAACCATTCCTCGACGTGTCAAGTGGTTCGACCTTGTGCTGGAACGGCGAAGCATGGAAGATCGGGTCTAACCCAGTCACAGGTAACGATGGTCAGGCTGTATTTGATGTACTCATTCAAGCAAGCTCTGCTGATTCAAGTACATCAAAGTCTACCATCGAGATTCTGAAAGTCTTAAAGAGCATCTCAGGGCCTTTCGCTTTCGTGTTCTTTGACAAGAACCATGGCCAGGTATACTTCGGCCGAGACCGCCTCGGAAGACGTTCTCTGCTTTTCAGTAGTAATGAAGTGCTGGACACCTTCCAATTGTCCAGCATTGGGGATGAAGCTGGCTCGTGGCGAGAAGTCGAAGCCGACGCGGTCTATCAGCTTTCTCTTGATAGCAGAGCATTTCACATGCATGCCCATGAACAAGTTGCGGATTTGGGAACAGCCATCGCGCCAGTCCATAAACATCACTGGGACACAGCTGGCCTTGAATCCGTAAGTTGTTTCCTACTATGGGCTTTGATAGGGAATAGCTATAGATTGACAATTCCTCTTTTAGGGTATATCATTAGGTAAATTCAACAAAGAAGTGCCCACGGAGAATTATGCCCTGGACAAGCAAACAGAATCGGTAGGACTATTGCGTCAACACTTGAGTGAGTCTCTCAACCTCAGGGTTCTGAATATCCCTTTACCTCCAATCCCTGATAACGGGCCCCGTGTTCGGATGGCTGTTCTTTTCTCTGGCGGACTTGATTGTACTGTCCTCGCGCGCATGGCGCATGACATTCTTCCAGCAGACCAGCAGATTGATCTGCTCAACGTTGCCTTTGAAAATCCAAGAGTCGTACGTGCTGCGAAGAACGGACCAAAGCAGAAAAAACAGAAGCCAGGCAAGGGTCCTGGCCAAGAAAGCGAAAATTTTGGAGAGGACCTTGCCACAGAAGGTCGGAGTCATCAAAGCTCCATCTACGAAAGCTGTCCAGATAGGGAAACAGGTAGGAAGGCTTTCCGAGAGCTCCAAAAAGTTTGCCGTGACAGATTCTGGCGATTCGTTGCGGTCAGTCATGCCAACATACCGGAAGTTAAAATATCTGATATCTTGCAGGTCGACGTCCCCTACACAGAGACTATAGCAAGCAGAACCAAAGTCATCAGTCTGATTTCTCCTCACAACACAGAGATGGATCTTTCCATAGCGTATGCTCTGTACTTTGCAGCACGCGGAGTTGGGACAGCTACATCGAGTCTAGACTCTACACCCACACCTTACGCAACACCCGCTCGTGTTCTACTTTCCGGGCTCGGCGCTGACGAACTTTTCGGAGGATACACCCGTCACACAACAGCCTTCAGCAGAAACGGGTTCCCGGGACTTCTCGATGAGCTAAAGCTAGATGTTGACAGACTCGGGAAGCGGAACCTCGGCCGCGATGACCGCGTAATCTCACACTGGGGTCGCGAGGCTCGGTTCCCCTACCTAGACGAGAACCTTGTCAAATGGGCAGTCGAGTGTCCCATCTGGCAAAAGTGTGGATTCCGGCCGCTTGCTTCCGATAAGAAGCAAGATCCAGATATCGAGCCAGGGAAGAAAATTCTGCGCTTGCTCGCATACGAACTTGGACTCCATTCAGTGGCGATGGAGAAGAAGCGAGCTGTGAGAAAGTCACTTTTTATCCCGAACTTTCCCTGCTAACGGCTACAGATCCAATTTGGCGCTCGCACAGCAAAAATGGAAATCGGGAGAACCAAGGGCACCACGCTGATATCCTGATCCTTGAGACCAGCATCAGCAGACACTTCGGCTGTGATGATAACCAGATACTTCTGAGCTGCTCTATGCACCATCCGGAAAGCTCACCCAAACCTGCTTGTCGTGTGTTTCTGTGCAAGCAGTAACCTGGAAGTGGAGTGCGGATGCCGGTTGGAGACATTGCACAGGCATCTATGATGTAGTAAAGGCAAGTCTGAGCCACGCTGCACCCAAGAGAATTAGGGATACGCGGCTCATACCTTGGCATTTTATTGTCTTTGCTCTTCCTCTGGACCTGTCTTGCGCTAGTTCATAAGCTTAGATGTCTCGTCCGGGGGCCATCGCGACCTTGAAACATGGGCACCGCACCTATCGAAAATTCTTGGAAGTTACTCGAGTTCTGTTCATTATCTGCCCGCAAAAAGCCTACGTTCATCAGTTTTTTCCCATCTTGCCATCACCTATCTATTCCCATTGTTTCCGGTGTTCCCACACCCGGTCAAACAACTCTCGTTGCCACCAGATCCATCGATCCACTTACACTGCATTTCCCCAATATCCGGATTTTCTCCTTCTCCCCTCAGCCCCCCTCCTCTCTATTCTCGTCCGTCTCGTAGGTCCTACAATGCAGATACCACACGAGCACTGAACCCGTGGCCCTTACCCTGCAACCCCCCCCCGGCTCGCTTAGGAGGAGGAAGTCATGAGCCGACTCGTCACCCGCTCAAGCGATCCGCCCTTCCCCATTCCCACCTCGCATCCCTCGCCCCAAGGCACCGGATTTGTTTCGTTCCCAGATGTCTCTAAATTTCTCGCGA